ACTAAATGGTATGTTAGATTACATTATGCAGTATAGTAGCTTTGTTTTTGTGGTACGGATTACATCTTGAATTCGTTTCTTGCGACGGTTTGATTACGCCCTTTTTATTGTTTAACTAGACTCTTCATTTAAAATTATGGTGTGTTTGACAGTATATTATTTAGTTCCAGCTTAAATTTATATTATTTTCTATCTTATCACTGATTTAGTAAACAAGTTTTGCTACCGATGCTGTAATGTTTCTATCCTATCACTGATTTAGTAAACAAGTTTTGCTACCGATGCTGTAATGTTAACATTTTATGTAGGAGTCACCTAATCATCAACTAAGAAAAAATAGTGGTGTGAATTACATAGCAAAGCGAGGCGTGTTGATGACCTATATGTTCGATAGGATGATGTGGTTCACTTCATCAATCTTCAGGGTTGATACACTAAAGTTTGAAAGTCCTTTCATGGGAATCACAAAAAATGAACCGTAACAAACATAAAAAAATGAGCATCTTGAACGGACAAATGTGAAATGCAACTCATTCAACCACCCCCATGTTTCAATTATATAAACATCTCACACCATTTTCGTTATTGCAACACAAAATGCAAAAAATAAAAAATAAAAAAAAAAGAAAAATTCAACGCCATAGTTATCCAATGCAGGAACATGGGTAACATTATGTAGTATGTAGTCGTTGATACAAACTCCTACATTGTTGGGACTCCTGAAGTTGGACGACAAAGAAAACTGTAGAATTGTAGACCTTCCAAACAGGACAAACCAGTGATTATGATTGTGCAGTCTGTGCTCTTCTTCATCTGCATATTGATTCGACTCAATATAGTACTGGAATATTATAGATATTACCCACTCCGAAAGTCTTCCTGAAACCATTGTTGATTTTAATTCATCATCGAAGCTAGTTTCTTGAATTTGAGTTTGAATATATTCAGCATTTTCAATAAATTCCTCCTGTTGTTTTTTTTTTTTTTTTTGTCATTCAACATTTCAGTTACAGATGAAAATAGGGAAAGTTTCTATTCGAGTAAATTATGATTTTTTTCTAATCATGCAGCATTTTCGGTTTATTTTTTACTCTAATCGTATGAAATGATTTTTTCAAAAATATTTTTAAAGTATTTATGATTTTTTTCCCAAAAATTAAATTTATTGAGCTTTGGACATCTAAATAAAAGTGTGGACCTAAATATGTGTAAACCAAATTCTTTTATAATTGTATTTCACGATGGATGGAATACAAGTGGAAACTATATATAGGGTCAGGGGCGAATTCAAGAACTTGAGTCAGCACGGGCGGTTGATCATCTACTGTCGGCTGTAATAAAATATTAAGAGTCCTTTTGATACTCAATTTTTTTTGCGAAAAATGCATTTTGGAATAGTGATTTGATGGAAAACGTGTGACTAAAATAAAGAAAAGTTTTGAATTTACGTGTAATATTATTTTATTAAATAATGTATGGATGAAAAGAAAAAAGAAAAAATATATTTTGAAAAAAAAAATTGGAATCAAACAAGGTCTAAATTATAAATATAATAATTATTTTGTTTAAACTGAACATATATAATTTTGTTATAAGAATAAACATAACTCATTAAATGACATTGTTGCCAAGATTAGTATAATTCAAAGAAAGAGTGCAAATTTGAATCTTCAAAATTGTTTGCAATAAACCAATCAAAACTTAACAAATATTATTTTGTTAAATTTAATGTCATAATTCAAAAGTACCATAATGGTTAAGTTAACAACAATTCTTACTTGAAATCATAGGTTTGAATCTTCATTGTCCCTTCCTATTGCATTTTGGTAAAAATTATAGAATAAAAATAATACATAACAAACCATTGACAAGGGATTCGAACCCAAGACATCAAGTTTGTTCACGCCGGTTCTCACCAACTGAGTTGCAAGGGATTTTTGAAGAGAAAACCAATTACCTTTCATAAGGTAAAAATTTAATTTATGGTTAACAAAAAAAAAAAAATTTTTGCCATTGACTCCAAATTTTCCTTAAATGTTTTCCCAGACTCGCAGTTTAGTATTCCTTCACATAAATATGGAAACGAAACCTTTAACTAAACATATAATCAGTAGACAACAAGGGTAGAGAGAATTATAATAAAATTAAATAGTTAAGCATGCATACGCACATGTTCGAGAAAATATTTGGTGATGTAACATACAAAATGAAAGGGGAAAAAAATTCTACCGGTTTCGCTAGATAAAATTAGCTTTGTCTGTGGTTTTGCTGGATAAATTTGATAAAGAAGTATACTAGCAAAAGGGAAATCCTATCTCTTTCTTGCAAATGGCTTACCCGACTTTTTCCTTGGGATATGTTGATGCTTTTGCTAATGCAAATGCTGATAACTATAGTGTTGGGTCAAAAGACTATACTCATACACACATAAAAAACAGAGGAATGCTAGGAAAAGCCTAACAATTGTGCATGGATTAAAGAAAGAATTCAGCTACAAGAATGGGCTTTTAAATATTGGTCAAAAGAGTGGTTCGTGTTCCCCTCAGTTCAAATGCTCGGCCATGTCTCATAGTAGGGATCTGTTTTTGAATCTACACCCTGAAATATCAATGCTTAAAGGTGAGACAAGCTCTAAAATGACCAATCCAAGACAGGATAGATCAAGTGAAAATGTGACGGAGAGCCTAACTAATTCCGAAAGTTTGAACAATTACAATGAGGCTAAGATCAAGGTTATTGGTGTTGGAGGTGGTGGATCTAATGCAGGTAATTGTATGATAGAGAGTGCAATGAAGGGTGTTGAATTCTGATTGTTAACACAGATATCTAGGCCATGAGAATGTCACTCGTGCTTCCTGAACATCGCTTGCAAATAGACCAACTATAGGGCTTGGAACTGGTGACAAACCAGATATTGGGATGGATGCTGCAAAAGGAAAGCAAAGTATAGAGAAAGCTGAAAATCTTCATCACCCCACGATCCCACTTAATCCTACAACTACAAAATCTTCATTCAACCCACCCCATCTTCTTCATCTTCTTTGCCATTCTAGCCCAAAAGCACCATCCATCACAATCAAAACATTGTTCCTATCTCATTCCTCGCCTACAATCCACCTGCCTCCTGATTCTCCATTCTGTTTGAATTACGATTTTTTTGAATTCATTGGATTTTTCACTTTCGTGCATTTGATTTTCGTAGCTATTTGTATAGTTTACTGTTTGAATTTTAAAGTAGTTATTTAACTTTTCTCGTTGATTTTTTCTTTTTCTCTATTATCACTATGGGATTTTTCTAGTATTTCTTTCATTTTTTATTTATTCGTTTTTGTATTCCAGAACGATTATAGTGGAATCTTGTTTTTATATTTGTGATTTTTTTTTTATTTTCTTCTTTTTGTAATGATATAGAGTTTATATAATCAGTATATAACCAACACTTTTGAGCTTCATCCTTTCTGATAAGAAACGTTGTGAATGATCAATACAATTATTACAATGAGTTCAAACTAGTTTTGGCATCTCTCTAATCCCAGGTGGGTTGAAGGCAAGGAATAAGATGGGATGAAGTTAAGATTATGGTGGAACATGGAGAAGAAGATGAAGAAGATGAGGCGGGTGGGGGTGAAGAAGCTGAAGATTTGGGGCGGGTTAGATTTTTTCCCCCATTTTAGTTTAATTATTTTAATTGTTAATATTTAGACAAAATGTAAATTTACTATTTTGTTCCTTTTAAAATTACTCAAAATAGGTTAAAAGTTGTCATGTTATTATTTTATGGTTAACTGGACAGACACTATCCATTCGTCCTTGTGCTTAGGGGCAAAATTAGATATTTTCTACCGTGGGCTCAAAAATTAAAAACGCTTGAGCGAAAATCAAGTGCTCAAAAGACGGTAGGCTTCGGTCATCGGTACTCAAGCGTCCTCTTTTGGTCTTGCTTGAAGCTACAATTTTCTATCATGTCAAACACTGGCATGGCATACCTGTCTTTTCGAAACACTAAAGATAAATAAACATATATATATATATATATATATATATATATATATAT